TAGATCGAGCTAGGCCACCAAACAAGTCTCAACAAATTCCAAAAGATTAAAGTCATACCATGCATCTTTTCTGACCACAATGCTATTAAACTAGAAATAAACCACAAGAAAGAACCTGTAAAGAAGGCAAATACAGGAACACAAATACAGAAAAAGTCTGTAAAGCCACAAATGGGTAGCTCAGATGGTTGAGCATCTGCCTTCAGCTCAGGTCATGATCTCAAGATCCTGGGATGGAGCCGCATGATGGGCTCCCAGCTCAGCAGGGAGTCGGCTTCTCCCTCTCCCTCTGCTTCCCCCCCTGCTTGTGCACTCTCTGTCTCTCTCAGACGAATAAATAAAATCTTTTTAAAAAAAGAACATGAATACATGGAGGTTAAATAACATCCTACTAAACAATGAATCAGTCAATCAAGAAGTCAAAGAAGAAATAACAAAATACATGGAGACAAATGAAAATGAAAACACAGCAGTCTCAGATCTTTGAGATGTGGCAAAAGCTGTCCTAATTGGGAATTTTATAGCAATACAGGTCTACCTCAAGCAGCATGAAAAATCTCAAACCTAACCTTAACACCTAAAGGAGGTAGAAAAAGAGCAAAAGGAACCCCAAACCAGTAGAAAGAAAGAAATGATAAAAATTAGAGCAGGAATACAATAGAAATTAAAAACAACAATCAATGAAACCAGGAGCTACTTCTTTGAAAAGATGAATAGAATTGATAAACCTTTAGCCACACTCATCAAAAATAAAATTAAATTAAAAAGAGGACTCAAGGGACGCCTGGGTGGCTCAGTTGGTTAAGCGGCTGCCTTCGGCTCAGGTCATGATCCCAGCGTCCTGGGATCGAGTCCCACATCGGGCTCCTTGCTCAGCGGGGAGCCTGCTTCTCCCTCTGCCTCTGCCTACCACTCTGTCTGCCTGTGCTCATGCTCTCTCTCTCTCTAACTAATAAATAAATAAAATCTTTAAAAAAAAAAAAAAGAGGACTCAAACAGAATCAAAATTGGAAAAGGAGAAATAAAAACCAACACCACAGAAATACAAAGGATTATAGGAATATTATGAAACATATGTCAATAAATTGGACAATCTAGAGGAAATGGATAAATTACTAGAACCATATAACCTCCCAAAACTGAATCAGGAAGAAATAGGAAATTTGAACACACTGATTACCAGCAATGAAATGGAATCAGTAATCAAAAATCTCGCAATGGGGCACCTGGGTGGCTCTGGTCATGTTCCCAGGTCCCAGTATCAGTCCCCATGTCAAGTTCCTTGCTCAGCTGGGAAGCCTGCTTCTCCCTCTTCCTCTGCCAGCTGCTCCCCCTGCTTGTGCTCTTTCTCTGTCAAATAAAATCTTTAAAAAGAAAAAAAAAAAAAAACACCTCTCAACAAACATAAGTCTAGGGCCAGATGGCTTCTCAGGTGAGTTCACCGAACACTGAAAGAAGAGTTAATACTTACTCTTCTTAAACTATTAAAAAAAATAGGAGAGAAAGGAAAGCTTCCACATTCATTTTACAAGGCTGGTATTACTCTGATACTCAGTCCAGATAAAGGCACTACAGAAAAAGAGAACTACAGGCCAATATTTCTGAACATAGATGCAAAAATTCTCAAGAAAATGCTAGCAAACTGAATCCAACCAAACATTAAAAGTATCATTCACTGTGATCAAATGGAATGTATTTCTGGGATGCAAGGGGGTTCTTTATTCACAAATCAATCAGTGTGATACATCATATCAACAAGAAATAGGATAAAAACCACACAATCCTTTGAATAGATGTAGAAAAAGTACTTGACAAAATAAACATCCACTCTTGATAAAAATCCTCAACAGAGTAGTTTTAGAGGAAATATACCTCAACATGATAAAAGGCCATATATGGAAAACCCACAGCTAATACTCAGTGGTGAAAAACTGGGAGCTTGCCCCCTAAGATCAGGAGCAAGACAGGGATGTCCAGTGTCACCACTTTTATTCAACATTGTACTGGAAGTCCTAAAAAAAGCAATCAGACAACAAAAATAAAAGGCAGCCAAATTATTTAAGGAAGAAGTAAAACTTTCACTATTTGCAGAGGATATGACACTTTATATAGAAAACCCAAAAGACTCCTCCAAAGAACTGCTAGAATTGATAAATGAATTCAGTAAGGTCACAGGATACATATCCATTACACTTTTATACACTAATAATGAAGTGGCATAAAGAGAAATTAAGAAAACAATCCTAATTATAATTGCACCAAAAATAACAAAATTTCTAGGGATATACTTAACCAACGAGGTAAAAGACCTGCACTATGAAAAGTATAAAACACTGATGAAAGAAAGTGAAGATGACAAAACAAATAGATACTCTGTGCTCATGAATTGGGAGAGCAAATATTGTTAAAATGTCCCTATTGCCTAAAGCAATCTACACATTTAATGCAATCCCTATTAAAATACAAACAGCATTTTTACAGAACTAGAACAAATAATCCTAAAATTTGTGTGGAACTACAAAAGACCCGAGTAGCCAAAGCAATCTTGAAGAAAAAAACTAGAGGTATCACAATCCCAGATTTCAAGATCTATTACAAAGCTCTAGTAATCAAAACGTTACGGTACTGGCAGAAAAATAGACACATAGGTCATTAGAACAGAACAGAGAGCTCAGAAATAAACCCACCATTATATGGTCAATTAGCCTTCAGCAAAGGAAGCACAAATACCCAAAGCGAGTCTCTTCAATAAATGATGTTGGGAAAACTGGACAGCTGTATGGAAAACAATGAAACTGGATCATTTGTAACTGATTCTTACACCATACACAAAAATAAACTCAAAATGGATGAAAGACCTAAATGGAAGACCTAAAACCATAAAAATCCTGGAAGAGAATGCAGGTAGTAATTTCTCTGACCGACCATGGCAACATTTTTCTAGATCTGTCTCCTAATGCAAGGGAAACAAACAAAAATAAAATATTGGGACTACATCCAAATAAAAAGTCTTTGCAGAGCGAAGAAAACAATCAACCAAGCAAAAAGACCACCTACTGAATGGAAGAAAATATTTTAAAATGATATGTCCAGTAAAGGGTTAATATCTAAAATATATAAAGAACTTACACAACTCAACACCAAAACCCAAATAATTTAGTTAAAAAATGGGCGGAAGACATGAACAGACATTTCTCCAAAGACATCCAAATGGCCAACAGACCCATCTCAAAATCACTAATCATCAGGGAAATGAAAATCAAAACCACAGTGAGCTCTCACACCTGTCAGAATGGCCAAATTCAAAAACACAACAGCTGTTGGTAAGGCTGAGGAAGAAAAGGATCCCTTCCGCACTGTTGGTGGGAATGCAAGCTGGAAGGTGATATATATATCCCCAAAGGATACATTATTCAGCTATAAAAAAGAATGAAACTTTGCCACATGGGATAATGTGGTTGGGTCCACTGCTAAGTGATACTGATCAGAGAAACAAATACCATATAATTGCAGTCATATGTAGAATTTTTTAAAAATATATTTTATTTATTTATTTGACAGACAGAAGATCACAAGTAGGCAGAGAGGCAGGCAGAGAGAGGGGGAGGGAAACAGGCTCCCCGCCGAGCAGAGAGCCTGATGCGGGGCTCGATCCCAGGATGCTGGGATCAAGACCTGAGCCGAAGGCAGAAGCTTTAACCCACTGAGCCACCCAGGCGCCCCCATATGTAGAATTTTTAAAAAAGATTTTATTTATTTATTCGACAGATCACAAGTAGGCAGAGAGGCAGGCAGAGAGAGAGGAGGAAGCAGGCTCCCCACTGAGCAAAGAGCCCGATGTGGGGCTAGAGCCCGATGTGGGGCTCGATCCCAGGTCCCTAAGATCATGACTCGAGCTGAAGGCAGAGGCTTAACCCACTGAGCCACCCAGGTGCCCCTGTATGTGGAATTTAAGGGAAAAAAAAAAACAGACAAATGAGAAAAAATGAAACCGAAAACAAGACCCTTAAATGTCGAGAACAAATGTGGTTACCAGATGGGAGGTGGGTGGGGGGATGGGTGGAAAAGCTGAAGCGAATTAAGAGTACCCTTAGGATGTTCACTGAGTAATGTGTAGAATTGGTGATCACTATATTGCCCATGTGAAACTAATATAACACTTTGTTAATTATACTGTAATTTAGAAAAAAGGTGAGAGAAGGTATCGCCAATGTCTAACATTGTGAAGGGATCAACACATAGTTCATACAGAGAAATCGTATTAATCAGAGCAAGAAATAAGACTTGTCTAAATGGACAAAATATGAGTGGTCAATGGAAGGGGGAACCCAAGTGGCTATCAGACCTATGAAAATATATACACGTTTAAATTTAGGAATTCATCGAACACATAGTAGAATGTAAAGACAGTTCTAATTCATCTGAAATTTCTGCTAGAACTAACCTCACAAATATAGACAGAAATAGCACTAAGACTGTATTAATAACATTCAGCAGTGTATAAATGTACTGTACACTATAACCAAGAGAGATGTATTCCAGTCATGCCAGGTTGCTTTAATTTTAGATGACAAAGAATGTTATCTAACATATTAGCACCTTAAGAAAAATCAATTTGTGCAGAAAAATAACTAGCATAAGTGAATAACAGTGCTATGTGTAGGTTCTCTCCCTTTACATAAATGTGTAAGTACACATGTAGGAGGCAGATACAGATGTGAGTGAACTGTAGTCTAGTGGTTAACAATGTGTAGAACACAATTGAATGATAAAATTTTTACAGAACAATTCTGTACCATCAAATAATAAAATTCTTTGGAATGAATATGAAATATGTTTAATTTCTTTCATTAACATTAACATTCATTTCCAAATACTTTATTGAAAACTACAAAGTTGTTGTCTGGATATTACTGAAAACTTCATTGTTGAAACTTACAAACACTTCTGCTGAGAGAAATTAAAGGTGTCCTAAATAAATGGTGTGGTATTTTCCATAGAATTTGGTGGTTTCACTTTTTCTCCCTGGAAGTGTACAGTACTCCCTTGGGTCTTCAGTATTAAAGGATATGGACCTCTTCGACGTGGAACCTGGTGAGTGTGGGTCAGGAATTCAGTCTGAGCATCCATTGACTAGAGACCACCTGAGGCCCAGTTTACCTCAGGACAGTTGGAGAGGTTTGGGGAGTGAGTTTCTGGTTCCCCCCGGAGACGAGCGCCCAGAACCTTCTGAATCATTAGTGCAGATTAAGAGGGTGTGGGTGGTCAGGAGTTACTTTCTTCCAATGTGAAGGGTTTCAAGTGGTGTTGGGAGAATGACCAGAAGATAGCATGTAGTTCCCCAGGCAAGAACTCCAACCACCCTGTGTTTTAGATGCTATTGTTTCCCCCATGTCAGCGATGAGGAGATGGAGGCTTAGAGAGGTGAGGCTTCCTGTCCAAGGAACCATAGTCAGTAATGGGATTACTTGCTGCAAACCCAGTTAGCTTCCCTCTAGAGCTCAGGCCCTGAAGTCAGATGCCATCTGCCAGATTCCATTGCCAATTTGAACCCAAACACCATGTGATTGGTTATAATTCAAGTTCAACATTTCTGAATTTGAACATAAGATATAGAAGTGTGCTACAAAATTTGAAATGACATCCTCCTTTAGCTACCATTTATTCCAAAGGAAAAAATATTTCTTAAATTGTAAATGTTGAATTACCTTGCTTAGAAAAACATAACCTTTGTGCAGCGGGCTACTCAAAATGTATAACAGCATTCTGTATGTTTGATAACTTTTCTCCTGGAGTAATTTTAAATGTCACAGATTGTACACACTATGCCATCCTGTAAGATTTTTAACCATTCCTGTTAAGGCTACTTGTTAGTCTGGGTATGGGTATGAGTTTTGATAGATACTGTCTTTAACTCTGCAGGTAGGCAATCTGGATTCATTTCCACCACACGGGTGCATGAGAGCCCTGTTTTGTGGTGATGAGGTTCGTTTATATATAACATCACTGAGATGTAGGTACTATTTTTTCTTGTCATTTTAAAGAATGTAGCATTACGTGTGAGGAACATGTAAATGTCATCACAGAGGTCTGCCAGGGAAGTTTTGTCTTCATTTTTTATTTTGTATCACGAGGTGAAACTGTTTACCTCATGTCTCAAATTAGGAGGGGTGAGGCGCACCTGGGTGGCTCAGTCGGGTAAGTGTCTGACTCTTGGTTTTCGCTCAGGTCATGATCTCAGTGTCCTGGGATTGAGCTCCAGGTTGGGCTCCACGCTCAGTGGGCAATCTACTTGTAGATTCTCTCTCTCTCTTTTTTCTCTTTCTCAAATAAATATTTAAAAAAGATTAGGAGGGGTGAGGCTGGGATATAGCCAGAGACAGTTCATTCATGGCTTAGGACATGGTCCACCTGCTGGAGACTTGAAAAGGAGGTGTGGAGTACAAAATATGGCTTGGGAGCAACTGGCAGGCTCAGCATACCTTAGGCTTTCAGTAAATGGTACCTTCAACTTCCATCTGCTGATGACCCTGGCTTTCTTCCTGAGTGGTGGTTACTACAATACCCAGAAGGCTCTGCTTTGTGAGGTAGCAACTTCCTGCCAGTGATGGCCCAGGAGAAGGGGTCTTTTTCTGTCTGTGCTTCAGTCACAGCAGAACTTCTGGAGTCATCTTCGTGGTGGCTCTGTTGTTTTGTTTTGTTGGTTTGTTTTCAGAGAGGACTGTGTATTGGGAGGCAGGTGGGCCAACCTGGGAGACTTGCTCAGAGAGTTAAGGCAGGCTTCCCACAGGCAGAGGGGACAGCTGACTGCTAAGAAACTATGGTTAGTCAGAGATCATGGAGGCCCCCCCCAACCAGAGGGCAGGGTTCAGATTAAGTCAAATGGTGTGAAACCTTGTGCAGGAAATCAAGGGAATCCTAAATTCTGCCTCTCTAACATGACCAAAGCTATAGCACAGAAAGGTGCACAGAGGCCCTTTGAGCTGTGGAGGAAAGTCATGGGCACTGATTGAATATGCTTAGCTGCGAGAATGATCCCCTTCGGGCAACCCCAGGAGACCCGGGGGACTCTAAAGCCTCTATCCAGACACACAGTCAGTAAAACAGGTGCGAACTGCACTTAGTTGTGCTGCCAGCCTGGGCACAGTTATCCAAGCTGCTTTCATCTTTTCCCATCCTGGGAAGAAGGATTCAAAAAAAGGATTTTAAAATGTGTTGCTTCTTCTAAAATCAACATCCTAGTAACTTGGCTAAGCCTGTGCAGCTGGTGGCACAGAGGCACCCTTCCTGGCCGTGGCCCTACAAGTCAGCTGCATAAGGCCACTGGGCTGATGCTGGCTAAGCACACAAAGGTTAGTGGTTAAGAGGCAGCAGTGTCAAGGTCATTGTCCCACCCCAGCCCCCACCAGAGGTCACATGCTGGAAAAGTCCTGTCTTGAGCACACTTTCTTGTAGAGCCTAATGTCCTCAGATTTAGGAGGGGGTCCTGAAGTTTCCTGGGTTGGGCCCAGGGATGGGGGAATGCTGTGATGTGAAGACCACTGATGGCATTCAGAAAGACAGGGAAGGAGGTGGCAAACTTGCCTCAGAACATCAGGGTGAAGCCAGTGAGTGTGACCTGGTTCCAGAGGAGAATCACAAAACTCCAGAGCCCCACCCCCATCCCAGAGGAGACAATGAAAGAGACAAGGAAGACAGAGCCCACAGTTCACTTGCACTACAAGTGGAGGTCTTCACACACCTTGGACACCACGACAAGGTCCAAGCCCAAATGGCAGCCATCATGGTGGCTATTCTGGCTACCGCTTTTCTTGCCCCTGTGCTGTAAGATTATTAGAGCCCCATGTGGTATGTTGGTTTCTAGGGGTGTAGAGTGACCAAGGGGAGCACTAGCATCTCCATCTCCAGCCATTGTGCTGCTGCCCCTGTTTTATCCACAGGCTCCAGGAAGGACTGAGCTCATGGCTGTGTGCTCACCTTCCTTCAGATGGGATTCGTCTTCCTTCATTCCGTCCACGGAATTAAGTCTGTGGGCCCTGAGGACATGGACTCAATCCAAACAAGCAGTTACGTGGAGAGATTCCCCAGCAGGACCCAGAGAGATAAACCCATCGTAGGCAGGTCGAGGCGCTTGGAGGTGAGGCTGAGCTGTGTTCAACACACCACAGGTATCATTCCTTTCGGGTGGAGACAGCAGAGGGCCAGGATCGAAGCCAAAAGGGTGAGCTCAGCCTCTGTTCTGAGGGCGGCGGGAGCCATGCGGAGCTTGGAGCAGGCTCAGCAGGCTCCCCTGCTGCAGACTGCGGAAGATGGTGGAGGGCTGGGGTGCTGGTGGCGGCGGGGGTGGAAATAAAAGAAGCCCACCCAGTGGGGAACAAGCAAAGGCTATTGATTCAGACCTTGCTGGTACCAGCACTTTGGCTGAGACTTAGAGGCAGGCAAGGCGGTGGGAAAGCTGACTGGCCCAGATGAGAAGCGGGCACAGAAGTTCGGGAAGATGGCGCTTTCTACTGGCTCTTGTCGCTCCGGGTCAGTCGCTGCAGTGGTTGTGGTTTGGCTTCTGCCGGTTGTTGCAGAGGTGTGTGTTATGTTTGTACTTGTCCGGTTTTTTTTAAACTTTATTTTTATTTATTTTAATCTTAGTCGAAGTACAGTTGACGTATTAGTTTCAGGTGTACAGTATAGTGTTAACCGTAAAAATAAAACTGCCAGTTATTTTGTCAGCAGGAGATGGGTTTATTTGGGACTGGCAGGAGAACTGCCGGTCAGGCACACTATGACAAAACCATCTGCAAGTCTCCCAAACAGAGGAGAGCAATCCGCTTCTTAGGGGAAAGGGGGAAGCTGGGAAGGTTCTTACAAAAAGGCCGCTGAAATAATCTGGGAGTTTGAAGGATAGTTGCTTCCCATTGGCTGGGCTGAGAGCTGTGCTCCTCTCTCATTGGCTGGGCTGAGAGTGTGATCCTCTCACGTTGGTTGGGCTGAGAACTGTGATCCTCTCTCATTGGCTGGGCTGTTGGGACGAGGTTGAGGAAAGGCTTTCCCCCTTATGGGATAGGATAGCGGTTTCCATGTGCGAGGTCTGTCTCCTCTTGTGTTTGCAGATGCGGCTGAGTGGTCAGGCATCTGAAAGGCCCCCTTCCCACACCTCCCAAGTCCATTTTAGTGAGGTTTCCCTTGTTAATTTTCACAGTAGTGATTTAATAGTTAAATATGTTATGAATGCTCAGCAAGATAAGTGTAGTCACTGTACAAAATTATTACAATATTATTGACTATTTCTTATACTTTTCACCCCATGGCTTATTTTATAACTGGAAGAATGCTATATTTATATGTGATCACACCGCAGGAGATCCAAGGAGACTGGGCCTGTAGTTCTAATGAGTATTGATGAGCTGTGTCAGAGTGATTGCTACGAAGGGGGCAGAACAGGTTGTTTTCTGTTACTTTACTCGGGCCTGTTTTGTTTACCAAAGTGCGTTGTGGGAGGTAGCGGGGAGGAAGAGAAGACTCATAGTTGTGAACATGCCGCGGCGGGCAACCGAACGGGCGACATCAGTTGTCAAATGGATGTTCAAAGGATTAGGTGGGGATAGGAAGTTCAGACTGTGAGGGCACAGCATGTGTATAATAGATAAAATAATGGCTTCCCACACCATCCATGTTCTTTTTTTTTTTTAACATTAGTTTACATTTTTTTAAAGATTTTATTTATGTATTCAGCAGAGAAAGATCACAAGTAGGCAGAGAGTCGACAGAGGGAGGGGGGAAGCAGGCTCTCCACTGAGCAGAGAGAGCCAGATGCGGGACTCGATCCTAGGACCCTGATATCATGACCTGGGCAGAAGGTAGAGGCTTTAACCCACTGAGCCACCCAGGCGCCCCGGCCATCCATGGTCTAATCCCTTGAACCTCTGGCTGTGTTACCTCATGTGGCAAAAGGGATTTTACGTGTGTGATTAAATTAAGTATATTAACAACATGAAGAGATTACCACTGGGCCCAGTGTATTTGCAGGAGGATAGAGTCAGAGAAGATTTCAGGAAGTAAACAGGTCAGAGTGATAATAATTGCTGGCTTTGAAGTTGAAGAAGGGGCAGGGAGTCAAGGAATGCAAAAGGTCTTGAGAAATCGGGAAAGATAAAGAAAGATTTTTTTTGTAGAACTGCCAGAAGGAACACGATCCTGATGACATCTTGATCTTATCCTGGTGAATCCCATTTTGGATTTATAATCTTTACAACTGTAAGAAGAAAAATTTTTGTTCATGTACGCTGCAGAGCTGGTAATGATTTGTCACAGCAGCTACAGGAAACTATGAGTGTGCAGTGGAGAACTGGAAGAAGGCTGAGGGTACCTGAAATATGTGTGTAGTCCTGGGTGCCTGAGACTGAAGAGAAGGTCCAGATCGGGAGGTCTTCAAGCAGGACTGGGGGCTTTCCTTTGGCAGTTGGGACCACTGGAGGTTTGGGGCAGGATGGGATCCCAGTTAAATGCTTGGTATTGCCAAGCATTCTCTCCACGCTGTGTGCAGAGTGACATGTGAGGAGTCTGGTGTGCTGTCTGTGGTATGGGGGAGAAGAGTCGTGGTGGGTAACAGAAGCTGCGTGAGAGGTGTAGTCTGAGAAGTGATGTGCACAATAGGAGTGAGTGGGAACTGATGGTCCTGTAGCCCCGTTCCCAGGGGCTTCTGTGAGAACAGGGAGCCGGGCTTATGTCCTGGCATGATTTAGGGTCCCCCCGGGGGATTGGCTAGCACGTGGGGAAGAGGGTGAGCATGACGTTGTTGTGGGTAGACAGAGTGGGGATACTCAGTCAAGAGACTTCCTGGACCGTGCTGGCCATGTCATTGCAGGTCTGTGTGATCTCTGAGGACATTTTTGTGTCCTTCTCCCGGGAAGAATGGATGCTCCTTGATGATTCTCAGAGACTTTTATTTTTTTTTATTTTATTTTTTTTTTAAGATTTTATTTATTTATTTGACAGAGAGAGATCACAAGTAGACAGAGAGGCAGGCAGAGAGAGAGAGAGGGAAGCAGGCTCCCTGCTGAGCAGAGAGCCCGATGCGGGACTCGATCCCAGGACCCTGAGATCATGACCTGAGCCGAAAACAGCGGCTTAACCCACTGAGCCACCCAGGCGCCCCTCTCAGAGACTTTTATATCAGGATGTGATGCTGGAGAACTTTGCACTTTTAGTCTCACTGTGTAAGGTCTGCATGCCAGTCCCATCTGCTTTTTCTTTTTCTCCAGGGTCTGCTCTGTCCTTCCCATGGGCAGGTCATAGGCGCTGCTTCCTTGCCAGGTTTCCTGGAGTAGTGGCTGTGGGTGCCCGGTTTGCGCTGTATGGAGTGTTCTCATCTCCTAACGAGCCAGTCCTGAAGCCTTGCAGTGAAGGGTTGAGAGGCATGAGGTGTGGTTTGCCCAGTGGATCCCATAGTCGTGCTCCTTTTGGGGGCCTGGTGAATCTGTCCAGAATGATGGCACTGCTATGCCTAAGGTTCTGCTCCCTTTCTCTAGGGGACATTTTCTGGAGCTTAATTGTACCAGGAGTTACAGGTACTCACGAAGTCACTACTTACGGGTATCTTTGTGCAGTTCCTCCAAAACCTTCCTTCAAGGTTTAAAAAAAAATTTTGTAAAGATTTTATTTATTCATTTTAGACAGACAGAGAGAGCATTAGTGGGGCAAGGGGCAGAAGGAAAGGGAGAGACTCCCAAGCAGATTCCATGCTGAGTGCAAAGCCCAACGTGGGGCTTGATACCACGACCCCAAGATAATGACCTGAGCTGAAACCGAGTCAGACATTCAACCAACTGAGCCACCCGGGCGCCCTCCCCCACCCCACTGCCAAGGTTGTGTTTTTTTGTTTTGTTTTGGTAATAATTTTTTTTAACTTACGGAGTCTCATAGGATGCCTTGCTCTGGCCAGTAGTGGCTGCTCACCTGTCATTTGTCTCTCTTAGGAATTACATCCTCCAGATCGCACTTAGTCACCCCAGTGGAGCAGAGGGCAGATCCCCAGATAGCTGACCAAGTGGATATGGCTCCAGCCACAGAAAGGAAGACTCGGAAGGGACCTGGACCTGGTGAGTGGATGCGAGGGAAGGGCATGATATCAAGGTTGGATTCAAAACTAGCAGTACTAACTTTTCATACCAGTGTTTGGCTTCAAGGCTGCTGGCTACACTGTATTTCTACCCATCCTTCCCCATTCTTGATACTGCAGCTTATCTCCTGTCTGCTTCTAGGCCCCTGCCGTGTTCTATCTGCCCGGCATCCAGGCCACCCCCACCCACCCCGGGTCTGCAGTGTTCTGCAACATTGGCCTACATTTAACGTGTCATGAGATGTGCACACCCCCTTAAATGACCCTTGAGGGGCGCCTGGGTTGCTCAGTGGTTAAAGCCCCTGCCTTCAGCTCCGGTCATGATCCCAGGGTCCTGGGATCGAGCCCCGCATTGGGCTCTCTGCCCAGCAGGGAGCCTGCCTCCTCCTCTCTCTCTCTCTCTCTCTCTCTCTGCTGCCTCTCTGCCTACTTGTGATCTGTCTGTCAAATAAATAAATAAAAATCTTTAAATAAAAAAAATAAAAAATAAAGAAAAATAAATAAATAAATAACCCTTGAGTCCCAGCTACACACTTGTTAGTGGGTCTTCCTAGGCTAGTGCGTGCCCTTCTGCATAGCACTCTCCCATCTCCACAGCCAGAGACCTACTGAAGCCACTTGCTGTTCTCTGTCCACATATCCTTGTCCTCAGAAGGCTCCCTTCATTCATTGACCTTTGGAGTCTCAGTTCTGCATTGCAACCCCTTCCTCAACCTTCCCCACCTTTCTTGTCCTATAAACGGCCCCACTGAGGTACTCCTGGGTGTGTCGCATACATCTTAACAATGGGGTCGCCCCTCCCAGTAAGTGTGACATGCATGTACCATGTGACATACAGTACTTCTCTGCTTCCAGGTGGTTGGTCTGCGGTGGAGGATGAGGCCATGTCCCCTGAGCAGAGTGTTTCTTTAGAAGGAGTGTCACCGGTCAGGACTCCAGTGGCAGGTCTGAAGCTCCATCCCTGGGATGTATCTGGCTCAATATTGAAAGAAATCTTATACCCGACTGAATACCAGGGGGAGGAAGCCAGGCTGGAACCACATAGTGGTGGGGCCTGTTGGAAGCCTCCTGGGCTCAAGGCAAACGTCCATCAGCACCACACTGCAGAGAAACCCTTCAGAAGAGATGAGGACTGTGGCTCTGCGAAAAGCTGTGGATTCTATGTGCCAGAGAAGACCTGTACACACAGTGAGGATAGAAGGGACTTTCCAGCCACTTCAGACCTTCTTCAGCACCAGGTCTCCCATATTAGGATGAGGCCCCACAAGAGGACGAGGCCTGGGGGAGCCCTTCACCCTGGACAGCAGCATCACAGGTGCTTCGAATGTGGGAAATTGTTCACCCGCAAAGACACGCTTACTCGGCACCAGAGAATCCATACTGGAGAAAGACCTTATGAGTGCAGCAAATGTGGGAAATTCTTTAGCCAAAGCTGTGACCTTTTTAAACATGAGACCATACACACTGGAGAAAGGCCTTATGAGTGCAGTGAATGTGGGAAATTCTTTAGACAAGTCTCTGGCCTGATTGAACACAGGCGAGTTCACACTGGTGAAAGACTCGACCAGTGCAGTAATTGTGGAAAATTCTTTAGTAGTAAGTCCAACCTCATTAGACACCAAGAAGTGCACACAGGGGCAAGGCCTTATGTATGCAGTACATGTGGGAAAGAGTTCAGCCGCAAACACACACTTGTTCTGCACCAGAGGACTCACACTGGAGAAAGGCCTTATGAGTGCAGCAAATGTGGGAAGGCCTTTAGCCAAAGTTCCCACCTTAATGTACACTGGAGAATACACAGCAGTGATTATGAGTGCAGCCGATGTGGGAAAGCCTTTAGCTGCATCTCTAAACTCATTCAGCACCAGAAGGTTCACTCTGGAGAGAATCCTTATGAGTGCAGCAGATGTGGGAAAGCCTTTACCCAAAGGCCAAATCTCATTCGGCACTGGAAAGTTCATACTGGAGAATGGCCCTACGTGTGCAGCAAATGCGGGAAAGAGTTTAACCGCAAACACACACTTGTTCTCCATCAGAAGATTCATACTGGAGAAAAGCCTTAATACCACAGCAGTTGCGGGAAATCCTTTAGCCAGTATCCCAACTTACTATCCATTTGCGAATTCCTGGCAGCAGAGCTAGGACAGCCTTTACCAAGGACCAAACTTTATCCAGCCCTGGAAAATCCACACCAGACAAAGGCCTCAGCAGTACAGGGAATGTGCCATCTCCATGTTCAGTGTAGCAGCTCTCGCCAGAGAGGAGCTGCGAGAGTAGGCTTTGTGAGGACACCATTGTTCAGAAGTGGTACCTCACACGTATGAACCTCTGGAGGCTCCTTGTAAATGCCTGGTACATCAGTGATATCAGGACCTGTGTGCGTATTGTAAATTGCCAAGGCCCTTTGTCAGTGCTAAAAGCCATCCCACTACTACCATCTGCCCGAATCCCGCGGTGCGTGTCGGTCACTCCAGCATGCTTAGGCAGGAGGACCTGTGCTGTCTCCACAGTCCCTAGAAGGAGTCATGATAGGCCTCCATGGTCCATGGGGGGGCTTATTTTCTTACTTTTGTCTGGGTTAGGCATGGAAAAAATCAGCACACAAGATGTGTTTTCCAGGTAGCTTACAAAGATTTATCCTCATGGACTTTCTCATCTCGTGTGATGCTCACTGTGGATGTGTGTAGTCTCATGGCCTTCAGCCCTGGAAGCACATACCTCACATCACTCGTGTGTGAGTGCAATAATAAAGGGCTTATTCTTGAGCTATTTTTATTTTTTTCAAGATTTTATTTATTTATTAGAGAGAGAGAGTCTGAGTGGGGTGGGGGGGGCAGAGCGAGAGGGAGTAGCAGGCTTTCCGCTGAGCAGGGAGCCCAACATGGGGCTCGATCCCAGGATCCTGGGATCATGACCTGAGCCGAAGGCAGACACTTAATTGACTGAGCAGTCCAGGCGCCCCCCGCCCTTGAGCTGCTTTTAATCTGGAGGGTTCTGCTCATTGTGTGGAGTGTGTTGAGGACACACCTGTGTTCTGCCAACATGAAAGGATAAAGTTTATGGGAGGCCCCAGTTTTCCATGTCTCGGGACACGATGATGGCAGAGAAAAGCTGTCACGCCAGGTTTGGCCTAATTTGAGTTGCCACCCAAAGTCTTCTAGGAAAGCCTTAGGAGCTTTGGGAGACCTGTCATGGCAGCCTTCAATTCCTGAGTCCCTAAGTAATCGTAGGAAGGGGGTTGTGACAACCTCCAGTGCATCTGAGAGCAGAGTGAGTTTGGTCTCTTGTCCCCATGGAATGTTTCATATCCCCAGACACTATTAAGAGGAGTCTGGCCTCTGGTACCTGGCAAGAAGTCTGAGTTGAGAATTCAGTAGGTGGGAGTCACTGGTGGGAAGACCTACAGGAGCTGGGTTGGGGCTATAATGGACACAGGAACAAAGCGCGATTAACACGGAGTCAGAGTGGTTGCAGCACCCTGGGAGGGCTCCCCACGACAGGCGCCTGCTCATAGTACTCCTGTATTGTGGCTGAGCAGGAGAAGATATAGAAATTTTCAGGACTTCCAGAGCTGTCTCCTCTGGCCAAGTTCCCTTGCAGGACAAATAACCCAAATATTTCGTGGATTCCCTTAGGCCATAGATGCCTCAGGTCAGAACTGTTGCTGTGGTGGCAGGAAAGTGGATTGAGATGGGAGATCTGGGATTCCAGGGATGTGGCTTTTGTGACTTATCCAATATTCTTTTTTTTTTTAAGGTTTTATTTATTTATTTTTCAGAGAAAGAGCACAAAGCAAGGAGAGTGGCAGGCAGAGGGAGAGGCAGGTTCCCTGCTGAGCCAGGAGACCGATGAGGGACTTGATCCTAGGACCCTGGAATCCCCACCTGAGCTGAAGGCAGATGCTCAACTGACCGAGTCACACAGGCGTCCCAACTTATTCAATGTTCTTGGTGACTCGTATAGAAACAGCTTTCCTGAGTTGCCAATTTATGCTGCCACTGAGGCAGGACTACCCCCAAGGCATGAGGAGAAAATGGAGTATTATAAGGTTGCCTAAAGGATTTAATTTGCCTTTTTCCTATTTGCTTAAGGTGGACTATGTTATTTATATGAGAACTCCTTTCTAATACCATCATTTTTTAAGTTTCCCTGTAATTACTATGTTAGCAGAATTCCCCATGTTCTGATATATTGTGCATTTGTTTCATCTAAGAATTAGTTTTAAATTGGACTGAAAAAGTTCCAGCTTTATTTCTAGGGACTTCTGAGTATCTGTCTTTGCCACTAAGACACCTGCTAAGATAAGGGCCATGTTGTTTAATATCCAAAAATTTCCCGACCACACCTTGTCCCTGTTCCGTTGCTGATGGTTTCCAACTGGCATAATGGTTAGATAGTTTGGCTTGACTGTGTTACCAGAGAGGCATAAAAACTCCTACTGGAATCTTCTGACTCTGGAAGCCAGTGTTCATCACTCACATATTTATGGTGTAATCTGGGAGTGAATCACAAGACTGTGTGAAGAAAAATCTGGGAAACTGCGTGGATGTTCGACCCCCAGCATGGCCCTGCATTTCCTTCTCTTGGTATGTTATATCCTTCGCTTTTAAGAAAACCTCCCATGAGTATGTTCTGTGGAGTCTTTCAAGTATTTTCAGGTATAATACTTGTGAAATGTTTCCAGTTCATGATGAGGATGGGATATTTAATATGACCCCTGATTCTAATTCAAATAATAGTGACTAAGCAGGGAGCACCTGCCTGGTTCAGTTGGTAGAGCATATGATTCTTGATCTCAGAGTTCAAACCCCACATTGAGTGTGGAGCCTACTTTAAAAAAAAAAATTGACTTAGTGCACAGGAAGCAAGATGACAGAGGCTGGTGAGGAAGGATTTTTGTTAACAGGTTGGTTTCCAGACCATCCCTGGGTTGGGTATGGATAAGGGATGTACTCAGAAATAGGAAGGAAAATAAATATGAGAACTGGAGTCTGTAGGTCCATGCTAAGTGGATTGCAAATCAAAGACAAACAGGGGATGTCAGCCAAGAATGTGATTCCTTGGTTGTATCCCCCACCCCTTTTCTAGTAAAAAGCATCAGAGTGTTGGGGTCCGTTATCAAAGGAACGAGACTGAGACAAAGTGAGAGTTATGCAAAGCTTTATTCTATGCCAAGCATCAGAAGTCAGACTGACTTGAGCCAAAATCCAGAGCTGGACCCTACATCCACTGAGCCACCCAGGTGCCCTGGTTGATTGACAGCAGTATTTCTCAATGTTTTCAGGAATGAAAAAACCATATTTTGGAGATAAAATCTTCAGAATGATCAAGCACATTGGTATAGCAGTCACATGCTCTGTTTGAGTCTATCTTTTCCAGACTTCTTAGAACCTTCTTCTCAAAGTTCTCAGAGGTTATAACCGTTTCTTAGCTTTTACCGATGTGTAGGGAGATGGGATATGGGATTCCTCATAACTATTTCTGCCACTGTCTCTAAACAGCTGAAGTCTGTATCTCACTGCTGGTTTATTCTGAGATAATTTCAAGTACTAAAGCAATAGTATTACCAGTGCCTGAAGAAAGAAGAATCACTTCCCGGCGAGAAGGTGAGATCATGGGGTGGCTCAGTGGGTTAAGGCCTATGCCTTCCGCTCAGGTCATGATCCCACGGTCCTGGGATTGAGCCCCACATCCGGCTCTCTGCTCAGCAGGGAGCCTGCTTCCCTTCCTCTCTCTGCCTGCCTCTCTGCCTACTTGTGATCTCTATCAAATGAATAAATAAAATCTTAAAAAAAGGGCGCCTGGGTGGCTCAGTGGGTTAAGCCTCTGCCTTCGGCTCAGGTCATGATCTCAGGGTCCTGGGATCGAGTCCCACATCGGGCTCTCTGCTCGGCAGGGAGCCTGCTTCCCTCTCTCTCTCTGCCTGCCTCTCTGTCTACTTGTGATCTTTCTCTGTCAAATAAATAAATAAAATCTTTAAAAAAAAATCTTAAAAAAAAAAAAGAAGGTGAGATCATTGGGTTCAGACAACCCTTCATTTCAGGGTTCAGAGTCTCCCTTTGCACACTTGCTCCAACTGAAAATGGCAAGACATGTTCGGTACCAAAAATAGCATCAGTTAAGCTGCACTATGTTTGGGATGATGTCAGACTCCTAAAAGGAATTAAGTACATCTGAGAATATGGAGTAAAAATATGTGGATAAAAGTGTTCTTTGATAGATGCAAGACAATCACTGTACAGGCGAAAGGGGTTTAGTGTGGCAACAGAGGCTGACAGCGTCATTGACCACTTCATTTTGGGTGGCCTACCATCCCTTGTCCTTCTTCAACGTCATGTACTGTATGGGGTGTGGAAGAGGAAACCACAGGCCACAAATGGAGCCGCTTTTTCTCCATCAGGTCACCAGACCAGGGCGGAATACCTAAGCTCAATGCATTTCCAACCTCCCCCAGAAATTTAGTTTTCAAGCTCAGTCAGGGATTTTCTGGTCAGCACCAAAAAGGTAGTTTGCCACAGGGATGGGTCCTTTCCATCCCCTAAAGAAAGATGAGGGATTTTCGTAGTAAGACTCTATTTTTTAGGGTGCCTGGGTGGCTCAGTGGGTTAAGGCCTCTGCCTTCCACTCAGGTCATGATCTTAGGATCCTGGGATCAAGCCCCACATCGGGCTCTCTGCTCAGTGGGGAGCCTGCTTCCTTTCCTCTCTCTCTGCCTGCCTCTCTGCCTACTTGTGATCTCTGTCTGTCAAATGAATAAATAAAATCTTAAAAAAAAAAAGACTCTATTTTTCCCCCCAATAAGATGACCTCATCTAACATACTCCTTTTTTCTGTTTATGGTATTCTTGCCCTACCTTTAAAAACATTTACCTCTCTGTAGCGCTTTGGAGCTGCCCTCTACCTGCTAGATGGAGGCTGCCCAATTAAGAAATCGGTGGATAAAGCCAGCAGACCTTTACAATGTACTGGGCTGAATTTTTGTTGTTTAACAAGGCCTTTTTTGTATTCTTACCCAAGTCCAAAACTGATAATGTTTCAGGGTGCAAATATCTGAGGAGCAACAACATCTTTTCACCTATGCACAGACTCATTTCTTTCTGAAACGCTATACGAAATGATATATATCGTCATTTACCTCAGTAAAAGTATTTGAGAGCATCTAAAAGAATAGTTTTCTTTGAGAGCTGACTGAGCTTTATGGAATCTGAAAGAAGGGCTCTTCTCCGCCTTTAACAAGGAGCTAAGCCAATCCTGGGTAGGAGCCTCACTTTCCACCATACCTCAGGGTGCCACGTGACCAAAGCTCCCTTATTCCAAGTGGAGGACGCCCTACCGGAGACCCCGAGCTCTGGGAGCCACAACCCCGAGGAGCATCAGTAGCCAGCGCGCAGCGAGGAGCCAATGAGGGAACCGAACGCGGTCTTTCTAGGCGGGCGCATTCGCTGGGGGCGGGACTTCCGGCCTCATCCCCGTCGGCAGGGTGTAGTCTCAGGTTAGGTCTGTTTATCTCCTCAGGTTCCCGAGCGCGGGTCAGGATCGGGTTAATTGACGCTGAAGACGCGAGGAGCGGCGCGGTCCTCGCCGCACACAGTTGAGCCCGGGTGTCCGCTCCCCCCCGGCCAGCTGCCGGCCCACCGAGTCCGATGGCGGCAGCCGCGCCCAGGGACTCGGCTGAGGTAAACGCTCGTCCCCCGGGCCCTCCCCGCCGCCCCCTCACCCAGACCCCGAAGGCCCGAGCGCCGGGCGCCTGCTCGCGGCCCTGCGGCCCAGGCCCCGATATCCGGGACAGGGAGGCGCCGGTGGGCGGGGGCCCGTGTGGGAGCGCCGGCGGGCTGCGTGCGGGCGCGGGCTCCGGGCTGAGGGGCCGGCGGGGCGGGGGCTGCAGGGGGCCCGCGCCACCAACGGGGGACGGCATTGGTTCTGTCAGGAGCAGGGTGCTGCGCGGCGGGTGAGGCCTGCGCCGTCGCTGCCTGCCGAGGCGGTGTCTGCTGGCGGTGAGTGGAGGTGGTCTAACCCGGGCGTCAGGGGGCTTTCTCGGGCCGCGGAGAAGCGCCGCCGCCGGGGGTGAGCGCGCAGGCAGGCCGCGCAGCAGGAGGGACTCGCGGTGGTCGCTGGTAGTGGCCCGGACCGCCACCGTGTCCGTCCTGGGTGTTGGAGAACCTCGGAGAAGGGCTGAGGCGAATTGTGGGTGTCGCAGGGGAGAGGAGAACGGGGGGAGTGAGGGGAACCCCGGGGCTTTTGGTCGGTGACGCTTGAAGAGAAAACTGCAGACACTTTACCCGCAGAGATGTTGTTTCTGTGGGAGCGACAGGGAACAGCGATTGGGACCGAAGAAGCCGAGTGAAAGCAGTAGCCAGTGTGGAGAAGAGAGAGGTCGTCTTTCCCCCCCCACCCCTTAAGGAAAGGAACTAAAGCTGTTATGTACTCTCAAGTCCACTGGACTAAACTGGAAGGTCGAAGTATAGTGGCTTCTCATTGGCGGAGCTCGGGGGGGGGACGATCAAGAAAGGGCTGTTTTTGGGGGGGGGGGGGGGGGTTGTAGTGAAGTAGTATCTCCAAATTAGTTCAAGTCCATCTTTTTCTGTTGGGCCCGTAGCTGATACCACCCCCTCTGGTAGTGTCTGAGAGCTGCTCCCAGTGCAATCTCGCGACCCCAATTTAGAGAGGTTTCCCCTCATTAATTTTCACAGTTCTAGCAGCTGAAGGGAGGGAAAGTCCCATCAACCTGATGGAAGTTAACAGTAAGTTGCTTATCTTTGGGGGTGTCCGAACGTGTTTCCACAGCGTTAGGCGACTTAGGTGTTTCAGAAGATGGTAAGTGATGGCATCAAGTGGGCAGCTGGACAGGAAATTTTGGGAAACTGGGGGAAGGATTCATGATGGAGAGTTTGAAAAGTGATGGCTGCTGCGTGGACCAGGGTGGAGACTTGGATCACCTTTGGGAAGGGAACGCAGAGTGTCATGGCAATGCTCCTAGTAGGTCAGAGGGACCTAGTAAAGTGTGCCGAAGAGTGGTTTTCCTGCTCAACACGTGGTCGGGGTTGCTGGGCATTGTGAACACAGGTGAAGGAGAGAGGCAGTGATCTGGCAGATACACGGACAAGCCTTCCGTGGGATGATGGGACAAGTGATAGCTGAGGACATGGGGGTTGTTTGTTTGTTTGTTTGTTTAAGTAGGCTCCATTCCCAGTGTGGAGCCCAACACGAGTCTTGAACTCAGGACTATGAGATGGAGACCTGTGTTGAGATGAAGAGTTAGATGCTGAACCCATTTAGCCACCCAGGTGGCCAATCCTGCGAGTATTTGAGAGGCTGGAGCTGCTCTCTCTTCAGTGTTCTAGGACTTCACCAGAATTTTGTGGTCAGCTTTTATGGCATCCGGAGTGTTTCAGAATCTTCGTGCCAGAAACAGTCTGGGGCAAATGTCATTTTTGCTTTTCTGTGCCTGGCAGGGAGAGCCTGAGGTCTGGGGTTTTCAGAAAGGTCCAGTAGTGGATGGTTGGTTCCCAACTGTGGAGGGCCAGCATGGGTAGTAGGGGAGTAGAAGATGAGTAGGAACATTCTAGGTTGACAGTGGTTGTGAGTGTCATACTGGAGGGAAGATTAGAGGCAGGTGAGGAGGCTTCTCAGTAGCATTTGAGGCTTTCTCTCAGCTGGGATCCATGGGCGTATTGGGGTGGTAGTGGAACCTGTTTGTGTTTGTCACACATCCTTTGGTTGTCAAGTGACAAGGACAAGTGTGAGTCAAGGGAGAATCCTTTGGAAGGTGTGGGCTTTTTCATCTGGGGGGTCTGAAGACATGAGAGAGGTACAGTCTACAGAATCATGTAGACCTGGAGAGGAAGTGTGAGCTAAGGGCCTCAGGGTCCTGGTATTGAAGACTTCCTGGCAGAGCAGGGCCTGTAATTGGCTGTCTTAAGGGCTTGCCCTGGGAGACTATATGGGAATATCGTAGCAGGGGGATGGGACTTGCAGGCCACATTGCCTCCATGTGTCCCCTGTGTGTTATTGCTGAGCACTGAACAGTGATTGGTGGGAAGGTGAGAGGAGAGCAGCATTAGAGGCACCAAGACTTGGTATTATCTGAGGAGGGGAGCTGGGCTGCCAGGGGAGACTGGGGTGGGTGTGTGGGTTGGCTGGTGGGTTCTCAGAGAGAGAATGCTCAGGGTTCCATGTTTTCCTTTCATGGTAGTGTGGTGTGACCTTTGAGGACGTGGCCGTGTACTTCTCCTGGAAGGAGTGGAGGCTTCTTGATGAGGCTCAGAGACGGCTGTACCACCATGTGATGCTGGAGAACTTTGCACTTGTGTCGTCACTGGGTAAGGCCCTCAGCATCCCCTTGACCTGCCCTGGACTCTGTATCCTGCGGATTCCCCTCCTCCATTCTCCAGGGGAGGGTTGTCCTTCTCTGGTGTGGACTGTGTTCACTGTGTGCTTCCCCATCTTTCTGGGCAGTTGCTTTTGTTGCTGGCCCTGAGTTGTTGGTGTGCCCTTCTGTCCGCCCGCAGCCCTAGTACCCGCTGCGCTGAGCCCTGATCGGGTAAGATCGCAGGTCAGTGGTCGTGCATTGAGGCTGATGGAATGCACCTTGCTTGCCCTCTCCCTGGCTGGGTCTCTGTGTTCAGATCAGTGCCATTTCTGTGGCCTGGGTTTTGAACCGTTCCTTGGGGTGACATTTCCCTGTGCCTGCCTGTGCCTGAAATTGGAGGCATTGGCATGGCCACTGTGTAGGTATACCATGGAGTACTTCTCAAGACTGTCCTGTGTGGTTCTTTGGGTAGTATTTACATCTCTTCTTCCACCTGCCCCTCTTCCTTCAACTTTGATGAAATACGATTGACAAGTAGAATTATATTATTGCAAGTATATTACATGATGACTTAATATACAGTATGAAATTATTACCTAAATGACGGTAATCAACACACGCATCATTTGTTAAGATTACCTTTTTCTGGTTGGTGGTGAGAAAGCTTAATATCTATTCTCTTACCAAATTTCAAGTGTACAGTACAGTATTAACAACTGTACTCAACATTAGATCCTCAGAATTTACTCATCTTGTAAATGGAAGTGTGTATCCCTGACCATCTTCCCCTGTCCCCCAGTCCTTCGCTTCTGGCATTCTAGTCTGTTTCTGGGGTTTTTGTTTGTTTGTTCCAGAGTTTCCTTATATGTGGTACCGTACACTAGCTGTCTTTTCTGTGCAGTTTGACATAGCATAGTCTTTTCTAGGTTATCCATGTTGTGTAAGTGGCAGTTTTGCTTTCTTTTATGTGGCTGAATATTCCTGCATGTGTGTGTCTACTAAATGTTCTTTGTCACGTTAAACACTCAGGCACACTTACTGATGTTTCCATATATTTGCTATTGGGAATAATACCTCAGTGGATATCTCTGTGTGGAGATACTTTGTGGAGATACTGATTTTGTTTCCTTGGATAAATACCTGGAAATGGCAATGGTAGACCATATGGTAGCCTTTTTTTTTTTTTCTTTTTTTTTTAATTTTTAAATTTTGTTAGTTAACATACAGTGTAGTAATGGTTTCTGCAGTAGAATTCTATGATTCATCACTTACATACAATACCCAGTGCTCATCACAACAAGTGTCCTCTTTAATAGCCATCACCCATCTAGTCCGTTGCCCACCCACCTCCTGCCATCAACCTTCAGTTTGTTCTGTATTGTTAAGAGGCACTTACGGCTTGTTTCCCTCTCTCCTTTTTTCTCTTCCCCCCTCCTATATGTTCATCTCTTTTCTTTCCTAAATTCCACATATAAGTGAGTGAGATCATATGGTATTTGTCTATCTTTGTTTGACTTATTTCACTTAGCATAATATACTCTAGTTCCATCCACATAGTTGCAAATGGGAAGATTTCATTCTTTGTGATGGCTAATATTCCATTGTATATATGTGTGTATACACACACACACAGACACCCCCCCCACAAACATCTTCTTTAACAATTCATTAGTCAGTGGACATTTGGGCTCTCTTACTTGGTTATTGTTGATGCTGCTTTAAATATCGGGGTGTATATACCACTTCTTACCTGTATTTTTATATCCTTTGGGTAAATAACTAGTAGTGCAATTGCTGGATTGTAGGATAGCTCTATTTTTAGCTTTTTGAGGAACCTCCATAGTGTTCTTCAGAGTGGCTACACTGTTTTGCATTCCCACCAACAGTCCATGAGTGTTCCCCTTTTTCCACGTCCTCGCCAACAGCTGTTGTTTCCTGTACTGTTTTTTTAAAATTTTTTAGAAAGATTTTATTTATTTATTTATTATTTGAGAGAGAACACAGAGAGAGAGTGAGAGGGAGAAGCAGACTCCTATCTGAGCAGAGAGCACGACATGGGGCTCAATCCCAGAACCCCGAGGTCATGACCTGAGCTGAACATAGATACTTCACTGATTGAACCACCCAGGTGCCCCTAGACACTTAAAAAAAACCAGGATTTTATTTATTTGAGAGAGAGACAGAGATAGCAAGAGAGCAGGAGTGGGGAGGAGAGGGAGCCCACTGAGCAGGGAGCCCAATGTGGGGCTACATCCCAGGACCCTAAAATCATGATCTGAGCTGAAGGCAGATGCTTAACTGACTGAGCCACCCAGACACCCCTCCTGTGTTGTTAATTTTAACCATTCTCTCAGGTGTGAAGTGGTATCATAATGGTTTTGATTTATATTTCCCCGATGATGTTTGATGTTAAGCTTATTTTCATGTGTCTCTTAGCCATCTGGATGTCTTTTTTTTTTTTTTTAAGTTTTTCTTTTAAGATTTTATTTATTTATTTATTTATTTATTTAAAGATTTTATTTATTTATTTGACAGAGATCACAAGTAGGCAGAGAGACAGGCAGAGAGAGAGAGGAAGGGAAGCAGGCTCCTGCTGAGCAGAGAGCCAGATGTGGGGTTTGTTCCCAGGACTCTGAGATCATGACCTGAGCTGAAGGCAGAGGCTTTAACCCACTGAGCTACCCAGGCGCCCCTAAGATTTTATTTATTCATTTGTCAGAGAGAATGAGCACAAGCAGGGGGAACGGCAGGAAGTGGGAGACGCAGGCTCCCTGCTGAGCAAGGAACCCAGTGCGGGAACTCTATCCCAAGACCCTGGCATCATTTGTGAGCTGAAGGCAGACGCTTAACTGACTGAGCCCACTCGGGCGTCCCTGGATGTCTTCTTTGGAAAAATGTCTATTCATGTCTTCTGCCTGATTCTTAACTGGGTTATTTGTTTCGGGATGTTGAGTTTGGTAAGTTCTTTATAGGTTTTAGATACTAAGCCTTTACCAGATATGTTGTTTGCAAATATCTTCTTCCATTCTGTAGGCTGCCGTTTAGTTTTGTTGATTGTTTCCTTTGCTATGCAAAAGCTTTTTTCTTGGTGAAGTCCTAGTAGTTCATTTTTGCTTTTGTTTGGCTTGCATCCAGCAGCGTGTTTAATAAGAAGTTGCTATAGCCAGGGTCAAAGAGGTTTCTGCCCCTGTTCTCCTCCAGGATTTTGATGGTTTCCTATCTCATATTTAGGTCTTTCATCCATTTTTAATTTGTTTTTTGTGTATGGTGTAAGAAAATGGTCCAGTGTCATTCTCCTGCATGTGGCTGTCCAGTTTTCCCAACAGGATTTATTGAGGGGACTGACTTTTTTCTATTGGATATTCTTTCTTTCTTTTGGGAGATTAGTTGACCATAGAGTTGTTGATCCATTTCTGGGTTCCGTATTGATCCATGTGTCTGTTTTGTGCCAGTTCCATGTTGTCTTGATGACTACAGCTTTGTAATATAGCTTGAAATCTGGAATTGTGATGCCTCCAGTTTTGCTTCTTTTCAGAATTGCTTTGGCTATTTAGTGAATTTTGTGTTTCCGTATAAATTTTAGGATTATTTGTTCTAGTTTTGTGAAACATGCTATTTTGATAGGGATTGCACAGAATTTGTATATTGCTTTGAGTAGTAGAGACATTTTAATGATATTTGTTCTTCCAATTCATGAGCTTGGACTGTTTGACATTTCTTTGTGTCCTCTTCAGTTTCTTTCATGAGTGTCCTATAGTTTATAGTTTTCAGAGTAAGACCTTTTACTTCTTTAGTTAGGTTTATTCCTGGGTATCTTACTGTTTTTGTTGCTGTTGCAAATGGGATCAATTCCTTGATTTCTTTTTTCTGCTGCTTTGTTACTGGTGAAGTAACCAGTATATAGAAATGCAATAGATTTCTGCACATCACTTTTGTATCCTACAGCTTTGCTGAATTCATGTATTGGTTTTAGCAGTTTTTTGGTGGAGTCCTTCAGATTTTCTACAGAGTATCATGTCGTCTGCAAATAGTGAGGTTTTGACTTCTTCCTTGCCAGTTGGGATGCCTTTTATTTGTGTATTTATTTATTTTTTGGTCTTCTGATTGCTAAAGCTAAGACTTCCAGTACTATGTTTAATAGTAATGGTGAAAGTGGACATCCCTATCTTGTTCCTGACTATAGAGGTAGAGCTTCCTGTTTTCCCCATTGAGGATGATATTAGCTGTGGGTCTTTCATATATGGCCTTTTTGATGTTTATGTATGTTCCCTCCACCCCTACTTTGTTGAGGGTTTTTATCAAGAAAGGATGCTGTATTGTGTCGAATGCTTTTTTTGCATCTATGGAGAAGACCGTATGACTCTTACCATTTCTTTTCCTAATGTGGTGTATGACGTTGATTTGCAGTGGTTGAACCACTCATAGCGGCCCAGGAAGAAATCCGACTTGATTGTAGTGAGTAATTCTTTAATGTAATGTTGGATTTGATTTGTTAGTATATTTTTTTTTTGGAAAAAGGTATTTATTTGAGAGAGAGAGAGAGAACACAAGCATAAGTGAGGGTATCGGCAGAGGCAGAGGGAGAAGCAGGCTCCCCACTGAGTAGGGAGCCTGACACAGGGCTCCATTCCAGGATCCCCAGGATCATGACCGGACCTAAAGACAGACTCTTAACTGACTGAGCCACCCAGGCGCCTCTGATTTGCTAGGATTTTATTGAGAGTGTTTGCATTCCTGTTCATCATGATATTGGCCTATAAGTCTCCTTTTTAGTGGGGTCTTTTTCTGATTTTGGTATGAAGGTAGTGCTACCTTTGTAGAATGAGTTTGGAAGTTCTCCTTCCATTTCTATTTTTTGGAAAGGTTTGAGACCATGACCTGAACTGAAGGCAGAGGCTTTAACCCACTGAGCCACCCAGGCGCCCCTCAGCCAAGAATTCTTTATCCATAAAGGCTGTCATTTAGAATAGAAGGACAGACAGTTTCCCAGACAAACAAAAACTAAAGGAG